GAGAAGGTATGCATTGTTTTAAATTGCTCAAAACTATTTAAGATTTGCTGATTTAATTTGTCTAAACTAACTTTCTTATCTGGATCCAGCTTACATTGTAATAGATTAGTAGTCCGGTTTTGTACATGCACTAGTTTAGCCTTGATTTTAGCTATTTTGAGTTTAGTCACATTTTCCCTACACTGTTCAATTAGAGAATCAATTTGTTCACACTTTTCCCCAATTATAGTTATTTCCCCAGATAAAGTGTATGAACCTTTTAAATTTGTTAAATCGGTATTCTGGTTAATACAAGATCTTAAAGTTTTTCTTAAAGAGTCTACATCACTATCACTCGTTTCTTCCCCTCTTATTCTTATCTCGTACAGAAGTTCTTCTTTGTTTAGATAATTTAAATTGTATTTTGACATGTTGAAAATTTTCAGCCTCTATTTATTTGCTGTAGTTCTTCTAACATAGGCATAATCCTCAATAATCATGTAGGCCTATGTATTTCTCACTTTTACCAGCTTCTAATTTTAAATGATTCATTAGCAGAGTGGCGCACTTGTATACCCCTACCTTGTTGCCAATTAGGTAGTATACTTTAATTTAGGATGAATCTAATTTAAGCTGGTAGTAGAAGTGAGATAAATTAAAAGACAAAGTAGACCAAAGATGCATTTATTTTACGGGTGTCAAATTTCTCAAAATACACTTTCCAAATGAAATTAAATATCCAGATGTTACTTCCAAAAATTATACTAAATAATAAAATAGTGGAAAGATCTTACTTTAAACAGAGACACTGGTTTAATGGTCAGAACAGGCACTAGCAGATACCATGCAAACTAGAAGTGGTGCAAAAAGCCACTGGACCAATCATAAGAAGGTGAACAAGAAGTGGTAGTACCAAGAAGTGGTTGATTTCTGTCTGAAAACATCACACAAACCCAATAAAAACTATTCTCTATAAATTCTAATAATTAAAAGTAGATTTAAGATCTTTACAACTTCTTGTGAAAATGCGCTTCTCCTAGAACAAAACTCAACAGGTCTGTATAAACTTTACTTGTTTTCTTTTCTTGTGAAATGCATTAAAATTGATTTGAAAACTATTCATTCCTTTTCATCTTTTTCCAAAAGTGATTTCTACAAAGCTACATACAATAAATCAGCTAAAATCTTATTACTAAACAATATTAAAACTACTTACAATTTTCTACAGCAACCACAACTTAGATGACCATATTTCCAGTGAACTTAAAACTGACAAAGTTGAACCTGGTTATCACTAACCACTACCAACCCTACAAAACTAAAACTTCTAAACTGCTGGTCACTCTTTCTTAATCTTTCTAGCCAATGATTAAATAATATTGATTTTGTTTTGTTATTTCAAATAAAAACTAACTACCATCGGTACACACTACATACTAATACAGATCAGATAACAATTGAATGAATAATACAATTTAAATGTAGCCTACTGAGAATCTGAATTTTTCCTACAAACAGATTCATAAAACAAACCTGTTACTTTTATAATTACTTTGATAGATACTTAACAAACAATATTTTATAAATTTTTTAAATTACATAGATTTTACCCATTTTTGTATTGATATCTCAATTCTTAAATTTAATAATTATACTCCATTATCAATTCCCACCCTTTACTCCACGCCTCTTTAAGATAATTTCCAAGTGCCCGCCAATCTTTGCCATTTAAAAATTCAAAAAAACTCATATTCATTTAAATATAACTTGTTGGACCAAAATTGACGTATCTTTTTTTTAAAATTGGACATTCTGCGATAAAAGGGTACACGTTTCATCCCGGTTGAGATTACATAGTGAACATACATAAATTTTATTTTCCATATAGAGTTAACTTTTTATTCGACGACCCCCTTTATTTGTAAAAAATGTTTTTAGGGATGATTACGAATAAAAAAATATATCCACCATTTTCCAATATGGCCACCAACTTTGTTATTTCTTATGGAATACGCTGTATTTTAGTATTCTTTTAGAATTTAAAAGCTATTTTTTTCTTAGTGACATTTTTTCTCTAAACCTACCCCATTTAGGAGTTACAGCCTGTTATATCTAAAAGAAAGGCTTGTGGTGTACATTCGGCATCCTGTAGCTCATAAACGAGTAAGTTGAGAGAGAAAGTGCAAAGAATAAATAAGTCACATATAAGTCCTCGTTAAAAAAATTATATATAATACGTTAAAAAATACGGATTTTGTTGTTTTGAAAATGGTCACCATTTTCAAAAATGGTAGCTTACTTTGATATTGGGACAATTTATTTTATGGTTTTTTTATGTAGATGTGATTTGAAAACTTGTTTATTCTTTGTATTTTCGGTCTTAAACTTACTCGTTTATGAGCTACAGGATGCAGGATGTACTCACAAACCATTTCTTCTTCGATGTAACTCCTAAACAAGTAGCTTTAGAGAAAAATGTCAAGAATAAAAAGGTTTAAAAATTGAGTGTTTACATTCTAAAACAATCATAAAATACAGGGTATTCTATAGGACTAACAAAGTTGTCATCCATATTGGAAAATGGCGAACATATTTTTAAAATTCGAAACCACTAAAAACACATCTTAAAATAAAGGGTAGTGTCCCATAAGAAGTTAACTCTATATCTCATAATAAACAAGTTATCTATTGGTTCACTTTAGGTGAGACACCCTGTATAATAAAATGAGGCTCTGGCGTACAGCAGCAAATGCACGATATTCATTCATATGTATCCACTATAGTCTGTATATGTACTGAATGAGCTACATAATGTTAATATAATCTATATAAAGCGGCAAATTCAAATACAAAAACCATAATATACGTATTTTTTTTCATTGTTGCGGTGCACAAAAAAGCCAGAGTCCTGTAAAATCAATTTACTGTACTATCTATAACCACTATATGCAAACAAACTGTTAATAACTATGTATCATTTTAAAATGTAAACTATGCACCCCTAATTTTGTATCAAACATTTTGTTGTGCGATAAAAAATCTACCAAGAAAAGTTTCATAAATTAATCCATAAAAATTACTTTTTTATGTTTATGATATTTTTTAACTATGAATATTTAGGATACCGTGGTAAATACACTTTTTGTAGAATATCGTAACGCAAAATGATTAATTAAAGATTGCGTTACTATCCTTACCCGTTTTAAAGTTATAGCTTAATTTCTAAGAGACTGTAAATTTATCTAAAAGGGGGGGGTAGAGGAAAGCACAAACGGGTAGGAGTGGGGACTTTTTGGAAAATGATCATCTCAACATGTTCTAACAGCATAGAAAAATTCAGCTTTCCCATAGTTACTTACAACATCAAACCTATATTGACTGTGGGCTACGTACCATCCATGCGCGCCTCGATACTACTACGAATTTTCCACGTTTACTCTTACTGAAATCAACGTAGCTCTGTTGTTTTTGCACAGATTTCTTTAAACTTGGTGCTGTTGTACTACTTGTTAGTTTTTCTAACCATAAATAGTTTGTAACATGCCCTAAACAAGCGCAATATTTCCGATATTTCATTTTAAAGTATTTTTAAATTTTATTTTTTGCAATAAATGTTGATTAGCGCCAAAAGTATAAGAGATAGAAGAATGGTTGTAATAACCTTTTTGAAGGACAATATATCTAGGCGTAGATAGACGCTTAATTCACCTTTCTATCATTAACCGTTTGTGAGTTAGACGCGGAAACGTAAACCGATGACCCGCGCAACTTCCCCCCTCCCCTCCGAGTTGTGACCACCCTAGAAATGCGACATCATCGATTTTTTTCATCTAATATATGTCCCCAACAATAATCAAAAGTCAAATTTTGTCAGACTTTCAGTGCATACTCAACCCGTTTAGCGCCTGGACTATAGAGATGTTTGATCTTTCAAGAATACTAAGAAGGATTGTGGTTCGATACTAAGTGTCTGAAGCTGAAGAGCAACAAAAGAATAATTAAGCAGGAGAAAATAAATTGGTCAAGATGAAATCAATTTTAGTTTCAAAGGAGTTCTGATGCGAACTTTGTAAAAAAAATTAAGGAGAAAATATATCTTCGATATTTTTGTTACGAAAGTTCTATATGCCAAATAACACGTCCTAAGATGTAACTGTTTACTGTTTTTGATCAATATTAAATCACATATATTACACTACTAATGTCACATGTATGCTTATATGTAATGTAGACATACAAGCATGTGTTATATGCTTGTATGTTTTAATGTAGAGTTTGCAGCCCAGTTGGAATTGGATGGAGATTAAGTGACAAAAAGTATGGTTTGGCTGCAACCTAACTGATTGACATGTGGCGGAAGCTATAAGAGTATGATTTATCTATGCTATACTTTATTTTCACATTAGGAATATTATAAAACACATAAGGATTACATTCTAGCAAAAAAATTATATGAAGTGTGCTTCTCTAAAACAAATATTTTTAATATTCGAGGGCGGTTTTTATGTAAGGACCGTTTTCGCGTATATATCCGTTGTAACGAGGTTCCTTACTTCTTACTATTTCGGCATCGGATATATTTCTTGCAATAAAAAACGTAAAACTGACTTTATCTCTCATGCGGTGAAAATTCTATACTTAAAAAGCAAAGCGTACATGTCAGGATATATAGTCATTGATGTTAGCTACAGACATTGATTATAAAAGCTACTAGAGCTGCGAATTGTGTTTCATTTACAAATAAATGATGCCAGTAGGTGGCGAGGGGCCTCTTTACAAGTAAATTACAGATTTCTACGCAGAAACGGCCCTTACTTAAAGACCCCGCTTATCGATACATACGTGATCAGCTCATAGGTAGATCATGAGAAGCTCATAAGAAGCCAAATCAAACTGCTGTAGCTGTGTAATCTTAGAAACAACACGTTTATACCTGATGTAAATGGTATCACCTTATAACAATAGATAGTTTGTAAACATAGTGTGTCGTAAAATTAAATGACTAGTGTATTTCAACATACTCCTTCATAATGTTGCTCAATCTTGGATGTATCCAACAACTCGTCTGGATATCCAATGTTATCCTGGATCTTGAGAACCTTGTAGAGAGCTTGAGACCTGAAAATGCACATCAAAATCAAATCTTATTTTAAATTTGGATGGGAAGTTTTGCAAGTAAATTATTCTGAACGTGTCTTTTTACAATAATAGTTCCTCAAAAGATTTAAGCGAGGGATGGATATGTATTGATTGAAAACAGAATGACATTTGCATGCATTTTTTACGTTATTATCAACAAAGTCTGGAAACTCCAGTTTTTAAAGGATATTGTTGCATGGCATTTCAGGTTTATTTTTACTAGGAATACCCATAGTGGAGATTAGCAACGTGTATACATACAATGGACCACTAGTTCGGCCGCTTAGAAAGCGACCTCCTCCAGCATTGGTTTAGCATTAGCACGCAGGTCGTTTTCTAAGCGGCCGAACTATAATGGTCTATAGTCTGTGATATAACTCAAAAGATACAATGTAAAGTTCGGCCGCTTAGAAAGCGACCTCCTCCAGCATTGGTTTAGCATTAGCGCGCAGGTCGTTTTCTAAGCGGCCGAACTATAATAAGAATGCAAACAGTTAACCATTGTGCTTTAAAACTTTGGCATTTTTTCTTATTGATTTCTCATCAGTAAAATACAACTAAGGAACTCGCCTTGTTACGTTGTCCATCCAGTCCACTTCTTGAAGTACTTTGTACATTTCCTGCCTTATCTTCTCTGCCATATCGAAAGCTTCCTTTCTCGACGTTTTGTCAAAAAACCTCTTTACATACAGTGAAGCCAGTGCTATTTTAAGGCTGAAAGCATAATATTGCGAAACTGGTCATGCTTGAGTAGAGTTGAAGAACTAAACATATTTGCATATTTAAACATGTATCCAAACAATATATGCAGTTCCTTTGGAACACCCATTGGAAATGCTGGTTGCTAGTGGCGTTTTGATTTTTTTACACCAACCCCTATTTGGGGGTTGGTGATGAAATTGAAAATAATTTTAAAAAGTGCGTGACATCACCCTGGCCACGCGAACTGAAGGGTGTTTGGAGATTTACAGCCATGAAAAAAATAAAAGTGGTGGAATATAAAATTCCTGAATTAATTTTAAAATATCTTGCCATAAACTTTTAAAAATCGTAGTATTAAAGTCGGACTTTTGGCAATAATTTCCTTTTTTAAAGTCCCTTTTAATAATCTGCTACTAGATAAGGGTTGCCGGTTTAAAATTTTGGGCTTTCCTCAGCAACTCCTATTTAAGAGGGGAGGATTTCAAAATACTACCAAAACGTACTTTACATTACCCTCTTAACGTTTATGGAAGCTAGTTTGAATACATGCAGTGGTTCAAAAATTAACTAGGGGGAGCATTATAAGAATCTATAGTCTTCGAAATTTGCATCTTTAAGTATCGTCAACCACAGCCAGTACTAAGGAATTTAAATATCACCATTTTCAAATAATGTGAGGTTAAATTAAATATATGTATATTTTCTTTCGCGTATCCTAGACCGTTGGCATTAAAAACTGCCTTATTTTAGAGGAATGGTTTAGTTGAAATCCAAACCAATCATGAGTTTAGGGTAAGCCGAATACCAAACCCCTAAACAGCCTCTGGAAGGGTTCAAGCAAATTCAGTAAAAATTTGCAATATTGTTTAAAGGCATTTACTCAAAATACTTACTTTCCGTCAGCCACGCCTACACACTCCTTCCATCTAGGATCCCTGGCCGTGGTACCATCAGTGGTTCTCCTGAACTCCTGGTTTCTGTTCCTCATCTCATCTGTAAGGAATTCTGACAAGCGTCGTGCAACATGCCAAACCATGTAGTTGGCCAACACTCTACGTGACAATGGAATATCTTCGTTAGTTATCTTTGCTTTCCAGACGGAAACGTCAAAGAAGTGCATATAAGGTGGAGTTATGGAAGAATGTAGACTGGAGTAGAATGATCTGTGTTTCTTTGCTGTTAACGATCTCAAATAATGAAATGAAATGAAATGAAAAATGATTTATTTAGTCAGGCAAAGTTAGGGCCAAATGGCCCTCTCTTACACTTAACCTGTTTATACAAATCTAAACATATACTATACAATACAAAATACTATAATCTATTTACAATATTTAATGTAAAAAGAAACAATAAACTTTTAAAACATACCACCTTACATAAACACCCACACACACACGCACACCTACACACGCACACAACACACACACACGCACACCTGTCAGTGATCAACCAAGCGCTCGCCTAGGATATACCAACCATGGCCATACGTCCAGAAAACAGATTTTTTAGTGCTGTAACAAACCGGGGACGGCTATCAAGGGTTTTTATGGCTAGAGGGAGATCATTCCAAAGGCTACAAGCAGAAACAACAAACGATCTGTCATAAACTGCCGTTCTATGATGAGGCATACGCAAAGTTACTGAAGCAGAACGTGAGTTTCTTAGACTTTCTTCAGCTACAAATTTAAAGTCGTTTAACAAATATTTTGGAAATTTTATTTTTAATATTGAATAGGTTATCATAAGAATTTTTATTGATCTTAGGTCACATAGTTTTAGTAATTTAGAATCAATATAAAAAGGAATGAAGCGCTCATTACGTCTCAGATCATAAACAAATCTTAAACAGTAGTTCTGAGTGCGTTGGAGAGCATCAGCGAGATTTACAGTCATGTCATTGATCACAGTGTTAGCCTACAGTAAGTGAAGTGAGGGAAAACAAGTGATTTTACTAGGTGTAACTTTATAAGTAAAGGTAAAAAATTCTTTAACTTCTATAGTGAGTGGATTAATGCAAACACCTTCTTACGTATGTCTACTACTGCATCTCCCCAAGTGTCGAGTTTATAGTAAGTCCTAGATTTTTCACTTTGTCATAGTAAAGTAAAGCTGTCCCATTTATAGTTACTGAGTTCACTGTGTCTTGGTCAATTGAGTTTCGTAAACGTGAATGACAAATTATTATTGGTGTTGTTTTTGTATGATTTAGTCTATGTCCATGTTTATCAGTCCAGGTAATGATTTTCTCGATGTCTTCGTTGATTTTTAGAACACTGTCATTGATATATTTTGCTGAGAAATGCGTATAAATCTGTAAGTCGTCGGCATACATGTGGTATTTACAGTGTGTGAGGACTGAACTCAGGTCATTTATGTATATTACAAACAGCAGAGGGCCAAGGATTGACCCCTGAGGCACGCCACAAGTAACTGTCTCCCAGTCAGATCGTACGTCATCAACCACAACACATTGCCGCCTGCCTGATAGGATCCCAGCCAGTCCAATACACCATTTGAAAACCCTATGGCCCTTAACTTTTCCATAAGAAGATTATGATTTACGCAGTCAAAAGCTTTCGAAAAATCAAATAGTGTTAGAATTGTACCATGCCGACGTTCCATTGCTTGTCTAATGTCGTCCGTCTCACGTAATAGTGCTGTTTCTGTGCTGTAAGCCGTTCGAAAACCAGACTGAAAGCTGCAAAGTATGTTGTTGTCAGTCAGAAATTCCGTCATTTGGCAGTGCACAATTCTTTCAAGGCCTTTTGATAATGCGGGCCATATACTGATCGGCCTGAAATCCTGGCAAGATGCCGGGGCTGGGATCTTATTTAATGGACGAATAAGGGCAGACTTCCAAGAAATAGGGAAAACGCTTTGCCTTAGAGATGTGTTGAAAATGCATGTGACAGTTGGGAGTATAGCAAAGAGAATGTCTTTTATAAAACGAATTGGAATGCCATCCGATCCGACTGCGTTGCTAAGAATCCGACGAATTGCGTTAAGAACATCTGACTGCACTACAGGTCTGAAAGTAAACTTAGGATGCCCTTAGGATCAGGGAGGTTTCTGATTTCGTTGATGTAATTTACAACATGTTGTTGGTCGATACTTTGACCATATGAAGAGAAGAAAGCGTTTAATTCATTGAGAGGGACATTTACTCTCTGTGGTTCAGACTGCTTCCCAAACCCAAGACTTTTTACATTGCGCCATAAAACCCTAGAGGATTGGTTTTTATTTTCAAAAAGCATACGAATGTGTCTTAATTTTGAATTTATCAAAAGCTGTTTCACTCTATTTCGAAGATAACAATATTGTTCCATTTCTGTTTGGTTTTGAGAACGTTTAGCTTTCCTAAAAATACAATCAAGTCTAGCCATTAATCTGCGGATTTCTGGGGTTATCCATGGTGCCGGACGTGTTTTAGTCAAACGTTTGGTTACTGTTGGAGCATGTTTGTCAAAAAGATTAATAATTGTAGTGTTTAACTCATTCACCATTTCATCAACTGATGGTAAGTTTTCTATTAAGTGCCATAGTGTTTCATAAATGTCTGCCATAAAGTCAACTACATTAATGTTCTTAAAATCTCTGTATTTTTGAAATTTAGTCTTGGGTTTAGGAGCCTTAACTGAAAACACACAAAATATGAGATCATGCTTGGATACTGCTGGAACTGGAAGTTACCCATGATGCATAATGTCGCATAATGATGCGTAATGCAGCATCCGACACCACTATCAAGTCTAGGAGAGTGTCAGACTCGGCAGCATGATGTGTAGGGTCGAGTGGAAGTATATCTAAGTTGCAAGAGTTAAACAATGTAGTCAGTTGTCTGTATTCATAGTTTTGATTTGTTGAGAGTAGGTCAGTATTGAAATCCCCCATGATCAAGGCATGAAACAAAGAGTTTAATAGTGCATTTTCAAAATCCAAAAAATTTCCTGCTCTAGGTGGGCGGTAACACACACACAATTACAGATCGTCAGCCCCAGCTAGACCAATTTCTATAATAAGGAATTCTGGTTTTGCCGAGTACTCAGAAAGTGAGGAGTTAATAACTTTAAAATTGATTCCCTCCCTGATATAAACTGCAACGCCTCCACCCTGTTTGCCGGTTCTATCATTTCGCTGCAGAATATAGCCAGGGAGGTTCACCTCATGAGATGAAATACTCGGCTTCAACCAAGATTCCGAAACAGCTATCAAATCAAAATCCCTGTATTTAAATATCTCCCTAACCTCATCAATATGGGAGCGCAGTGACTGGGCGTTGATGTGTGCCGCCTTTAGTTTCTTGGGGTAAGGAGATAAGGAGCGAGATAGATAGCCGGCAGTTGATAGTTAATTAAATTTTCTCAAAATGTATAGCCTCAAATAACTTCTTGGTCAGCATTATACGTCTTATTTAATTTACAGAAAGCAAATAAAAGAAACGTCTTATAACACTTAAAACATACATTTACGATTAAATATAGGCTACATAAAAGATGGTGATTGATTTCGATTGGACACTCTCCAATCATCATCAGACCCAATAGGCGAATGACCCATTCGCCCCATAACTTCATTCGCCTATTGGGTCTGATGATGATTGTAGGGTCCAATAGAAAATTATCACCACTTATCATCCATCTGTTCTATGAAAATACAATAAAACAATTTTTGTGAACAGAAATCCTCCCTAATTTTTTTGCCGATTTTGATGATTAACTAATTTGATTTAATTTAATTTGATGATTACTAGATGTATTTTAGTGTTTTACTAATTACAACAAAACATTTGTGTTTTTCATATCAATTAACAAAATTAGCCTATGCTACAAGTAAATAATCTTCCACAACATAGTGCAGAGCATCTCTCTGATGATCTCTGCTTGGTGTTAGGGCCAGAGAACGGCTACCAAAGTAGTTCATATCAAACCAACGGACAAAAATATACCGTGACACACTATTAATATTTTTATGTTTGAAGTAAATACATAAATTGATAGGTAAATTAGTTTAATAAAATAGAACTGAACTTATTCATGAGTCAAAAACTAGAAACAAAAACAATAACAAAAACAAGTTAAAAGTCACCTGCAATTTAAACAATGTTAAAACATATCACTTCTTCCCACCAAGTTTAGGCTTCTTCAATTAACCTCCTCTGTGGCCTGAAGGTCCTTGTTGATCTTCGCAGCTGAGGAGGTACATTCGGGTGTGGTAAAGCTTCTGCAGGGGATGTTCTAGGTCGTAGCTGAGGAGTGAAATTCGGATGTTGTGAAGCTACTGTGGGGAATGTTGTAGGGCTAGGGAATACAGCTGGTGATCCATGGTTTTCTGAATTCCGAACATGTACTTCTGCATTTCGTACTTGGAAATATGAAGAAGACAGTAGCTGTGGTAATTTTTTAATGCAGGGGTCGACTTCCTCTTCCGATTCATTGTTTTGGTAAAATTTCCGCATTTGACTTGTATGTCTTTTAGTGTGTCCATTAGAATCAATCAACCATGTGTTCCTACCTAACTGTCTAAGTATAATTCCTATTTTCCATTTTACTTTCCCTTCAACAAACGTACGAATGTACACTTTACTCCCAATAGAAAAGCCTCTGGTTTTCTTATATCACAGCACTTCAGAAGGTTCATCTCTTGAGTTTATCTCTTGTGAAGGTTTGATAAAATCTAATTTAGTTCGCAGATTGCGACCCAAGAACAAAAATGCAGGTGTTTGTCCAGTTGCAGTGTGAGGTGTTGCTCGATAGTGAAATAAATATGTCCTCAAGTTGTCTGTGAACAAGCTAGGCTCTTTATTGTACTGTAATTTGTTCATAGCTCTTTTAAGGTATCTACATTTTTCTCCACTTGTCCATTTGAACTTGGGTGAGCTACTGGAGTCGTAATATGTTTGATATTATTACGCAAGCAGAAATCTTTAAAACCTTGTGAAGTAAATGAAGTTCCGTTGTCTGAGACGACTGTTCTATGTATTCCATATTTACACAACAAATTCTTGAGCGCTTCTACTGTCTTTTCTGTGGTAATAGAGGACATAGGTACTATTTCTGGCCATTTCGAGAAAGCATCAATTACTAAGAGAAACATTTGTCCGTAAAATGGTCCAGCAAAATCTAAATGGATTCGACTCCAAGGTTCACTTTCTTTAGGCCAGTTGAATAGATGTTTTTAATTGGTAAATCTTTTGCAAACAAGTTACATTCACGGCCACGGTGACAAGTCTGTTCAATTAGAGCATCCATACCTGGCCACCACACATTACCCCGAGCCTCTGACTTCATTCTGACCTTGCCATTATGAGATTCATGCAAGTAGTTCATGATGTAAGTTTGGTATTTAGGTGGAATAACAGTTCTTATTCCCCACAGAAGACAGTTATTATGTAGAGTCAGTGCATCTTTCTTAGAAAAATAAGGCTTCAAGTTCTCATCTGGACACTTATTAGGCCAACCAACTTTTACATAGTGCATCACCTTCTTCAAAACAGGGTCCTTAACCGACTCCTCAGCGATTTCAGTACAAGTAATAGGAATCTCGGACTGCACTTCTGTTTGAATTGTCGTTACTATTGTATGGTGTCCCTCATCATTGGAATCAAAAGAATTAGAATTAGGTTGAAATGACGGTAATCTACTCAAACCATCGACTTTGCCAAAAAATTTTTGTAGATATGTATTCAATGTCATACGTATAGTTAGACAGTATTAGTGCCCAACGCTGAAGTCTATTGGCAGTTGTGGTAGGTACCCCTTTGTTAGATCCAAAAATTGTAAGCAAGTGTCTGTGGTCGGTCTGTAAAATGAAGTGTTTTCCCAGTAGATATGGGCGAAATTTCTTTATCGCAAAAATGATGGCCAGCCCTTCTCTTTCTATTTGAGAATAGTTCGCTTCAGTGGAAGTCAATGTTTTTGAAGCATATGCAATAGGCTTTTCAGAGTTGTCAGAAAATCTATGAAAAATTGCAGCACCGATTCCTACAGCTGATGCATCTGCAGAAAGAATGATGGGTAACTCTGGATTGTAATGTGTTAGTATAGGTGCATTCATTAACAAGTCTTTTAATTTGTTGAAACTGCGTTTACATTGATCAGGTCACAACCAGTCTACTCCTTTCTTCCGCAGTTGATTTAAAGGATAACAAAATTTTGAAAATTCTGGTATGAATTTGGGGTAGTATGTAACCATCCCTAAAAATGCCTCCAACTCTTTGACATTTGATGGCTGTGGCATATCTACAATGCCTGGAACTTTCGAATCCGAAACTTGTATGCCATTTTTAGTTATGACGAACCCAAGATATGTCACTGTTTCCTGCATAAACTTGCATTTATTTTTGTTCAATTGGAATCCAAACTCTTTAATTTTATTAAAAGTATTCTCTAGATTTTTGTAGTGTTCTTCATCATTGTGCCCTGTAACAATTATATCATCTAGATAGTTTGCTACGCCTGGCAACCCATTCAACATGTTGTACATAACTTTAGAAAATATAGCTGGAGCGGATGCAATTCCAAAACAAAGTCGCTTGTATCTGTAAAGTCCTTTGATGGTATTAATCACTAGTAAGTCTTGCGAATCTCTATCTACTGGTATTGACAAGTAGGCATCAGATAAATCTATGACTGAGAATTTTTCTCCTCCATTCAACTTAGCAAATATTTCCTCAGGTGTAGGTAGAGGAAATTTATGAATCTTAAAAGCCTGATTCAATCCTGTTGAAAAATCTGCACAAATTCTTATTTGACCAGAAGTTTTTTAACAACTACACAAGGTGCAGCCCAATCAGAATAGTCAATTGGTTCTATCAGATCAGCTTCTACAAGCCTGTCAATTTCCTCGCACACTTTGTCCTTTATTGCAAATGGAACTGGCCTTGCCTTCTTGTAAATAGGAGAAGCATCTTCCTACAATGGCCACTTTTGTTACAAAAGAGTCCCTTATTAGAATCAATTAATTTACTCAAGCTCATTCTTGGAAGTGAACTTTGAAACCCTGACCTTGAAATGTCATCAACTTCCTTGGAAACCCATAAACAATCACTTTGTAATGAATTAAGTGGCAATTCGTTGATTTTAAGCTCGTCGATCCAGTCTCTACCTAAAAGATCCTGAGTGCCACCTTCAGCAACGTACAGCTTTAGCTCTCTTTTAGTTTTCCTGAATGCCACTTTAACTGTTTGTTCACCAATCAAGTTTATGCAATGGCCACTATAAGATGTCAGTTTTGTATTTGAATGTAACAAAGGAAATTTTCCCAATCTTTCCCAAGTTCGTTGACATATAACAGAAACACAACTTCCTGTATCTAGTTGCATATTAATTCAAATACTATTGATACAGATAGAAACCCAAATTAAAGAAAATACATTGACGTTATGACACTGAAGACCAAGAGAAAAAAACGCTTCATTTGTCAACTTAGGTGAACAATCAAGAATGTTAGAGTCGATAAAGGTCCTAGAATCTCTTCCTTTTTCATTGTCAGTGAAATTTACTTGTCGGTTGTACGTTCCTTTTCCATGTCCACCAATTATTTTTTTTTTTTTTTTTTTTAAATCTGTTCTCCTTTTAATTTTGCAAACTTTTGCTAAGTGACCTTTTGTATCACAATTATTACATATTGCATTTCTAAATCTACATTGGTTCCTAATATGGTTACCACCACAAGAATAGCATAAATAGTTTGAATTTGTATTTAGAACCTCTCCATTTCTCTCATTATCGGAAAATGAAATCAGATTTTTCTTTGCTGAAGTGGTAAAAACTGAACTTAATGTTCTAGCAAATTCAAGTACAGTATTAAAATCTGTGTAACCTTTCTGAAGTAAATTAGCTCTAATAGAATCTTCATTAATACCCATTATGAAGGATGTAATGAGAGTATCTTGATAAAAGTCACCAGGGAAATCACAACTGCTGGCTAATTCTTTTAAGTTACTTGCAAAGGTGGACAAAGATTCAACACCTTGCTTCAGTGAAAAGAATTTTACTCTTTCGGCAACTTTAAACTTTACTGGTTTGAAATGTTTTACCAGAAGTTCATAAAGTTGTCCATAAGTGAATTCACTAATTTCTTTTGGCTTGCAAATAGTTACCAATGTTTTAAGAACTGTACTATCCAGGCAGTCAATGAATAAACATCTTTTAATATCATCATTTGTAATATTGCATAAATTTGCCTTGAATTTAATATTCCAAACATCAATGTAGCATGAATTAAGGTTAAATTTTTCACATCTAGGTTGACTTACCAACATAGGATTATTAAGAGTTGCTGGTAATGTATCTTCAGACATTATAATGAATTAGACTGCGGAATTGAATAAACTATCTTGCACTCTAAGTTTTCCATAAAATCATCCTCGTCGCCAGTTTTATGTTTGAATTAAATACATAAATTGATAGGTAAATTAGTTTAATAAAATAGAACTGAACTTATTCATGAGTCAAAAACTAGAAACAAAAACAATAACAAAAACAAGTTAAAAGTCTGCTGCAATTTAAACAATGTTAAAACATTTATCAAATATCATTCCGTCTGGATCGGTGTACGGACCCCTGACACACTATCGAACATGCTCCCTTCAACCTCCCTTTTCTTTTCTCTCTGCTCGATTCGGGTTCTTGATCGGAGAAAGGATCTATAGTGTGTCAACGTCTTAACGTATTGAGATATTAATATGAAGCAAAGTAGTGTTTTGAGGTATACTCACTGTTTTGGGTACTTAGACAACAACTGTTCTAACTCCTTTAGAAAGTTGACTTCCGCCACATTTATCATTTCATTTTCCCGTAGTTGAACGTCTTCCGGCAAGATACTTTTGAGAAGTTTCTTCCAGTCAACCCATGGGATCTCCTTTGTGAGATCAGGAAGAGTGTAAGGGTTGTACATTCTGTCAAAATCTCTTCGTTCTTCTCTTGGAACAGTTAACTGAAAATTTTTGAAGTTTATCAAATCAATTATTATCAATTATCAATTATATAAGATGGGGACGGTACAGTGTGCGTATTTTAACTTAAATATGAGTAAAGGATGAGTGGCACGACCTTGTAGTCTTATTAGTGACTAAGTCCGTCAAAAAGAATTAAATATAGACTGTCAGCCGTGCTGTGGTTACCACGGCTACCATAGATTCTACCGCACACCGCTGGAAGTGCCGTGTAGTTACATAGCGCGTATGCCGTAACTACTTTGTGATCTCAGCAGTCTGCGCCAGAACCCATAGTAACCACAGCACAGCTGACGGTCTATATTTAATTCTTTTTGTCTATGATCATATTATTGAGACACGTCTCTTAATTAATAGCCCATACAGCTAGTGGCAACTAATGGACGTACAGTTTATAGTGGAATCTGAACCACATTATTTCCTTATTATTAACTAATAAGTGTAATTATCAGGATAGTACTGCGGATATTCGTAGCACTCACTAGTGCGGACGTTAATACAGTCAAGTGAGTATCGCATCCACAGTGCATCTCTATCAATATCTACAATTCGTGACCTCCTAGTAGCTGGATTACAGGACGACGCCACCACTGTCACAGTTTAAACATAACTACTGAATTTAAAATCATCTGAATACTCTTAAAAGAGATGTGACGTTGAAATAGGCTAGCTAAAAGACTTGAGATTCTTGAGAGCCGATGAAGAATTTGCGCATAGAAAATAGGTTAGAGGGAAAATACCTTTTTGGGTGTAAACGACAGGGGTACTAAAAGTAAAAATATATGTTCCAAATCATATTTGGTTTTTGGTTTTTTTTATCATTTTAACACATATTATACAGTGTAGACAACCCTTAAGACGAATTAAGGTGATGCGAAGGGCTCATTCAATCGTATAACTTAGCAAGACTACAAAGAACAATTTTGTATTTACTCGAATATCCAAGCTGAAATTGGAAGAGGTTTAATGAATGTATAAATAAAAAAAGCTCAAATCATACCTTGGCAAGTTCTATCTCGAACAGCAGACAGTCCCTTAGCTGTTGTTTAGCAGTTTCCCTGTCAGCCCCGTACAACACAGCCATATCTACCATGTAGTTGTAGTAGGCTTTCACTATAGAGTCCTCCTCTCCTCGGATCAGAAACTCCCGGGAAAGGCCTAGACCAGCCTGGTCAACCTGTCACATGGAAAATAAAATAACTTAAGTATTAGTGAAATATGGTTAACATTTGATCGTGACTAGCTGAGTGGTAACAGTAATCACCAAGCAATTTTAAGGACGAAGGTTCCATTACAAAAAATCTGTAGTCTTTTGGTGATGGGAATCTGGACCAGTTTTATTTCATGGGTATTTTAATGAAAGGCCCTATCTAAAGTAACAGCTATGCTTAGCTATATAAGTATCAAAGCTACACAAGACATCTTACTCATCTATTCATATTTATTTGGACCTAGTTGCATCCATACATAACATAACATGTAATGTACATGGTATCTCATAGCATGAAATACAAATTGTATTGCTGAATTATGTTTTAATTATTAGAAGAAAAAACAAATAAATTGTAATGGAAATGTCTGAATGGAACGGGAAAGTTAAAAATGACAGGTTCTCTTTACAATTCAATCAATGACAAAATAGTAAACTACTCAATTTACTAAATAAAGTAATTAACAATATCGGTAAATCAATTTAAAAAAATAAATTACGAACAGAATCAAATGAAATATAATTGGGTTATCCTAGGTAAAACCATGCACACAAAATGATAGTAGCAAAAACATATAAAACACAAGATTTGATGTTATACTTTTTCTCCGTCGCTAATTTTCCACATAGTTTCTTTGTGCTAAATTAGGTCAGGACACAAGAGGCCACTCAACATTCTAATTGAAGACAGGAGGTGAGGTGAATAGGTATGGATAAGAGGGCTCGGTAAGAATAGGTAAATTCCAAGGGAGTATATAAATGAATAAATGAATTTATTTCCTATAATACAAAACACTTTACAAACATAATAATTGTTGAGAAATGTAAACTGGTCACTTTTTCAAGTAGTGTGGCCAGTTAAAAGGTTAATCATACATAATAAATAATAAATTGTTGAGCCTAGCATCAGATGACAAATATTTTATCCGCCTGCTGTAACATCTGGGCAAAACTTAGACTAAGAAAGTGTTAACAAAATACACATAAAATAAGGTAACAGTAACACAATCTTATACCAAAGAGTTGGCAAGATAACCTACATCCTGTTGAGAACTAAGCCAAGTGATTGTTCTTTTACAAAAGTGTTTGAAATTTGTTGTATTTTTAATATGAAGCGGAAGCTGATTGTAAAATTTTGGACCCAAGTATTGAAATGAATGTCTGAAAAAAGTTTTGTTTACTTTGGGTAATTTGATAGATTTATTTGCAAAACTTCTTGTACTGTAAGGATGATTTGGAATTATATTTTCTCTGTTTCCGCTCCGGATGAAGAACAATCTCAGGACTTTAAAAATAAAAAGATGTTGAACTGGTAGAATGCATAACTGTTGGTATAATGGAAAAGAGCTAGTTCGTTTAGGTTTTTTGAGAATTATTCGCAAGAAAAAATTTTGAGTTGTTCTAATCTTCTCTTTAAATTATACAGGGTGATTGATATAAGTGTGCCAGCCGTTTTATTCGAAAAATATAAGAGATATCAAAAAAAGTTAAATGGTAAGTGCCTTGGAATTTTTATTAAAAATATTGTAGTCAAGTCAAAAAATTATTTTAGCCGCCATTTTTCCAATATGGCCGCCAATTTTGATTTTCTTACGGAACACTCTGTATTTTATGATGTATTTTAGTAATTTAATGTAATTTTAGACGATTTTATTCTTGTAATTTTTTCCATAAACCTAACCGTTTCAAAGATAATAATGGTTAAAGTTTTGAAATTTCTGCATGAGAAAGAGTTTCGATAAAGGCCTAAGCAAGCATGCCAGCTGTTTTGTTCGAAAACCATTCAACATTTCACAACTTAAACCATTATTATCTTTGAAACGGTTAGGTTTATGAAAAAAATTACAAGAATAAAATCGTCTTAAAATTCTATTTTCTACCAGAATACATCATAAAATTCTATTTTCTACCAGAATACATCATAAAATACAGGGTGTTCCATAAGAAAAATCAAAGTTGGCGGCCATATTGGACAAATGGTGGCTAAAATAATTTTTTCGACTGCACTACAATTTTTTAAATAAAAAGTCCATGGCCCTTACCGTTTAACTTTTTTTCATATCTCTTATGGTTTTCGAATAAAACGGCTGGCACACTTATATCAATCACCCTGTATAATCGAATGTTTCTTATGGTAAGGACTTCGGATTTGAATAGTATAAAATTGCTAGAAATTAAAATATATATAATGCAAAGCATACTAAAAAAACAAACAGTACACATATTTTAGAAGATTAACCTCTGTTATAGAGTACCTCAATAATCCTCCGGGTTGTATTCTTGTTGTCGATCGAGATGTAGACGTAAAAGAGGTTGCCACCTCCAATTGAGAGCTTTTTGAGTTTTATTTTAGTGTCAAGGAAATTCCAATTTTCTCCCTCCCAGTTTCCCAACACAGGCCATCCTCCAGCTTTCTGCAGCAAGGCTACAGCGTGGCTTGTACCTCGACTGTTGATGGCCTCTGGAATAAGGATTTGGAATTAATAAAAACAATACTCAGAGAACAATTTTGTTCTCGTATGTTGCACAATTTCATTGCATCACTCGTTTAATTGGTAGAGCTAAACAACTAACTAATTTTGATGGCTAGACTTTCACACCTTTCATTTTTCAGCTATAGATTATCTAGATAGATTAGCTATAAAGATTGTATAGTTTGTAAATATGTTTTTCGTTTGATTTCTCACTCACCTTCGTCCATGCATAGTGAGAATAGATTCTTCAAGTTTCTATACGGCAATGGATCATCGGGTTTGGGCTCTTCAGAAAGAATCACTTTCAGTTGTTCCTGGAGCTTGTCTTCTACTTGAGAGAATGTTGAATTCTTGGTCTGAAATATATTACATACCATTCCGAAGTCGATTGAAAATACTTTTTTAGGAAAGTTAGTTACTTAATTGTGAATAAGGTTCGGATATCAAGGATGTATCCAGGACTTGAAAAGAATCTTGTTATAAAATCCCCAAGTTCGTTCAGTCAAGAGAGTGGCTTCCAAAAACCGTGTGATTTTTCATAGTTTCTGGTTTAGTACTTTAATACTTTCTTATGAAATGGCGACCATACAATGTAGGTATTTTAAGCCAAGTATGAATGGAGATGAGTGTAGGATGTGTGGCGCGATCTTGTAGTCTTGTTAGTGACTAAGGCCGACATTCCTTAGACACAGCTGTTAATTAATAGCCCAAACAGCTAATGGCAACTAAGGGACCTACAGTTTATAGTGGAATCCGAACCACATTTTTTCCTTGGTATATACGAATTGGTCTAATTATCAGGATAGTACTGCGGATTGTCGTAATACTCACTAGTGTGAACGTTAATCCACACCAGGGAGTATCGCATCCACAGTGCATGCCTATAAATATCCACAATCCGTGACCTCCTAGTAGCTGGATTACAGGACGACGCCACCCGTCCCAATAAATTATATAGCATTCTGTAAAGTATTGATTTGAATACCTTTATAAAAGTAATGTATATAAATTTGATTTTAAAATTTCTTTGGCCTTTTTAACCATGAATCTATCTGTTGTAATCACTAATGGGCCTCGATATTTTCTGTAAGTGGAAGCACATCGACGTGATCCCTCATCGAAACTTAAGCTTCAAAGTTCGTCGCACTAACGATGAACATGACAATTTAGAAGGTGCCTTACTGGGGCTGCCCTCTTTTGCCTTTGGAAAGTTAAAACCATCGATGGGCGCTGCGTGTGTAATGAATGATTGGCACAAAACAGCCTCTTACCTGGTCATGATCTATTAAAGCAGTGTCCTCAAAACGTCTGCAAGCGAATCTGTAGAAGTCATCGCAAGGTCTGGCACTGAAGTCTATGGAACCGAGCATTCTTTGAGCTGCACAAAAAACATGGTTTTGTTTGTTTAATTCTATGTAATAAAACATAATATTTTTATCAATTTCAGGGAGTAAATGTTCCAATGCTTTTGATTTCCGATTAAAAGAAAAATGTCCGAACATTACTTTTAGTTTCATATTATCCATGTCACTGTATTTTTCAATTAAAAGAAAGATCAATTCTCTTAATGCTATTGGTAAATAATAATTTGTATTTTACACACTATAACTTAACTAAAATCATTACAGTATTGATCTAATATGAACTACAAACCTGGCTAGTTCAAAGTATTAGTGCTACTTTCTCTCCAAAATTGAATAATATAAAACATAAGGTCAAATATCTACATTATGAAAAGCTACTTTATACCAAAAGAACTACCCTAATTAAATTGTTCTTTTTATTACACACATTTAAATTTATTTACAATGACTTAAGTATAATAATATTGAAAACGGAAGTAGGAGACAATTTATAATATCTTATGCGTATGAGGAGAGTAGAAATAGAGAGGCCTGGTCTAACAGACACCCATCCAGATACTTGGTGAGATTAATTAATAATATTTGCGAGTTCTGCTATGCAACTCACTTTGGAAGTGAAAAAAATATACAAAGCACATAGTGTTGTCACGGTGGTAAAGAAAACTCGCCAAGTGTCAGATCAAATGAATGCATGCAATAAATGTTTACTTCTGACACTGACAGATCGAGATATTTCAAAACATTTAGTAGAAACTATAATAATGCCTTGACTATGATAAGTTCAAGTAGGCCTAGTAGGATTATACCAAATCTTGGCAGACCTTTGGTTTTTATTGTAAACTTTTGTATTACTTGCTCTACTTTAATTGAGAAAAAAACGCAAATGGATTGTTTATACTTCTAGATTATGTTGCCAGTTCCTCGGAAAAACTTATACAAGGTTTTTTGACTGAATTTACTAACACAATCCAGACATTTCAAGTAAAAAATAAGAAGTTTCAACAACTCATTTGCTATTGAAAGTTTTAGTGGCAATATTAGACCAAACATAAGTGAAGGAATTAGTGTTTATGTATTCAACGATCGATTAGGGACAGTCAAGTTTATTTTTATGATTTAGGAGAGGCAAATAATATACGCTGTTCAAAAAGAGAATATGAAAATTGCTATCCAAATCGTATAGCTACAAGAGTTATCCAACCTATTTTGACAAATGAATCCATACTTTCAAATTTTTGGAACAGGTGTTTAGAGAAACTCCACTGAACAACGTGAGACTAACAGACAACACGTTAAAATACGTTAACCAGCTTTCCATGGTGTTGCTGCTTTAGCCTATTCAAAGCAGATTGTGGAAGTCCAGTTGGCAACCCAGAGTTTGTGGGTAAAAAATGGAGCACATGAAATGGTTAATATCACCTCACTTTTCAGGGTTTTACACGGTGAAAATTAGTTAGTTTAGGGAAATGTCTCAAATCAAAGAAATAAAATGACCTAACTTAAATTACTAAACACAGGTTATCAGTAATTCAACAGGTTAACAGTTTTCTTCAACTCTCAATGCTGGAAAAACTTTGTTGCAACATGTTAACTGGAATTGAAGCAGATCGTTTAGCATTCATTAGAAGTTATCAATTAAAATTGAGACCAGACAAAATGTAGGTGAACCTTGACGACGCAAACAGAAAAATTTAAAACTAGTTTCTAACAAGTGTTTAAACAACTCTAAGATGTAGCTACAATTGCTCAAATTTAAGCACAAAGTTTTCCTCAGCGTTATGTTTCATACTATGCGGCTCATTGAGCCGCACGGGTTCTCTAGTATTCATATAATCAGATTATAGTTCTTTGATAATCAATTACGTTTATTGTATTCATTTAACTTACATATGGACTCGCATGCTTTAGTTTTGCATATTTCCAAAGTTTCCCCATCTGAAAAGTAAAATTATTAGTTTAATAATTCTTAGCACGTACAAAGAATTAATATTCGTTTAATAAATGTAAAAGGCAACCAAATGAAATCTACGTTTAAGCAAGCTTACCTTTTTACGTTAAACCACATAGGTAGGCTACAAACATGCATCAGTGCCTTGTATGAATAGGTGGCCTTGTAAGCATGCATAGCTTTGAAGAAATATTGTTTATCAAACTAAGAGGGCCGATTGAATTTAGTTTCTAAAACCAAAGGTGGATTGTTGGCTTACTATTTTACCCGACTGATTTAAGGGGGAAATCGTACATTAGACAGTATACTCGGATATATAAATTTTAACGAGCATTGTTTTTGGCCTATTAACATCAAATAATGAAAAATAAAAATCAGTCCCGGGTCGAGGTCTTTTCCTGCCACCTACGGTTATAGCTACTTCCCTATAGGAAAATTCGCCAAAAAGAAAAATACTCTAAAATAAGCATTCCATGAGATCATTCATCATTTTTCTCTTCAGGTAAAAATAGACTAAAGATGTATTATATAACTGTGAAGGCTGAGTCAGTATTGACTATTTAAGTCAATATTATAATACTGGTAATAGCACAGAGAAAAGGTAGCAAAATGTAAAAATTAGTTGCAACTTTTTCACTGTCTCTTTCCTCGCTTTAAAGTCAATCAAGCACCTGTACATTTTAGCATGTATCTTACATACCAAAAAAGCACTTAAACACTCTCATTTTCCACAGGCACGTACACAACCATGCGACATGAGGTCAAATCAAAATCTGTAGACCCTACACAAGACTGACCAAGGTTCCACATCCTTCGAAGCTACAGGTATTGACCTTTTCAATTGCTTGCCTTTTTCAGCTCAGCATGATAGCTTAGGTAGTAGACTTTAGCTCTATCAATTTTGCATGATTTTTTTTTTTTAATAGCTACTCTTATTTAATTTTGTAGAATGGACACTTTTTTTCTTTAGTGTAGCATGTTTTACTATTGTACTTATGACTGACTTGTGCATTTCAAGCATCCACGAGAAGATCGATTGCATGTAATTTTGCCTAAAGATCAACAAAAATGTCTTATGTCTTTTGTCTTAGTCCAGGCAACGAGGACGTTTGATATTTTTAGTTCCATATAAACTCTCTTATATGCATAAACATGGTTATAACAACATATTTTTCCATTTAAATAGTCTAGCTAGATCATAAAGTGTGAGGAAGCTGGTTAGGTAGCCCACAAGTATATGTTTTCTATAGTGGGTATCTGTACTATTTTATTGGATAGTGAATGTTCCAACCAATTAGTTGACTGGGTAAGGTGATAAATTGAAATATTCAGTAGTCAACAGCTGTCACGAGACTTCAAATGTCTTGCTTAACCATAGATTAAAATTGTCTTAAATTTCAATTTAATTATAATTTTTTACTGATGGTTTATTTGCTTTAAAATATGAACGAAAGAGGGTATACTAGTAAAGTCATATATTTAAGGAAATTTGATGTTCTAAAACACTATGCCCTGCACCTATTTAGGGTGCATATTTTAAGATTTGACTTGTCAAAAAGAACAAAAAATGAGAGGGAAAATTTTTTTTTGTATCTACAAATAAATAACTCAAAAACATTACAAGATATCAGAACATTGTAAAAAACAAAACTTGCTAGCAAATTAATAAGCTTTCATATTTCGTTTGAATGCATGGTTTCCGAGATTTCAGCAAAAAAAAAACGAAAATGGCACCTTCAAGACTCCCTCCCCCACAGCACAAGGGCTAGAGACTTTTGGTATGTTTATCTCCTAACTATACTAAACAAAGTTAAGAAGTCACATAATTTGTGTTCAAGACATTTCCCTCTTACACTTTTTTTTGCATTCGTTGCCTTGACTATTAGTATTTCAACTCTAATACAACTCTAAGTTTAAAAAACGAATTCAAATTATTTTACGTAGAAATTTTTCACTGACTGTTTCCTCTAATAACGTTATTTTAAGTAAAATTCAATTTCATTGTGCTAACTAAAATTTTGACCAGTATAAATGTCTTATTTTACTTACTTTTAAGAAGAATTAAAGTCACAAGACCAAACACTACCTCGGAAGTCCTAACCATGACTACTGCTGGTTTATTTTTGTCCGTGCTTATATAGAGACTTTGAGTCCGTGACAATCACCTTTTTAACTATGTTAAGCTGATGTGCATTAGAATCGCTATCTATGCCATCACATGAGTAAAAGAGTTACATGTAACTACGCAAAGATTGTTATGGTGATTTGTTTTAAGGAGCATAAACGCTGGGTGTTACTAATGGAAAGCTCTTTGCAATACACATTACAGGTTAAGAGTGTAAAGAAACCTCAACAGAGTACACCTATTTCATTTGAGTTTCAGATAACAAATATTTTTGTTTTTATGTCATTTTTTATTTTTATCTCGCTTTTCACTACTTCAGTTTTCCTTCGAGAGGCACCAATGACGAATATTTTCTCAAGTATGTAATTTAAACCTCAAAAATCTCTAGCGTAACGTCTTAAAGTCGTTCTTTAGTCATGCCTTGATGTATGAGGGTAAGCAATGGCAATTGAGAGTTTTATACTCATTATATTTTTCCCTGCTTGGTAAATATTTTAAAATTAAAGCTAGTTTAAGTTGAAACATATTTTTCACTATAGCAATTTACTTAAAATACTAATGTATATAACTTGTTTGAGGGCTACGTGAACAATGGCAGTTAGAAATTGAAGAAAATAACAGAGTTCAAAAAATTAAACTGTAACATCAGTATTCATTATGAAGCAATACAACTTTGTTGGAAAGATATAAAAAACAAACCGATGACCATAACTATACCTTTTAATCATATTAAAACAACCTAAACTAATATAAATCATTTCCTCTATTTACATTAATTTTAGTAGTTTATATACCGGTACCGGTACCCGTTTCACTACATAAATACAGCAGTTTAAACTGTTACCGTACTTTTAGAAAAACTAAGTAAAATGTCTTAATACACTGATACAGTCTGGGGAACACTTATAACCAGGAAGTGTTCAGTTAACGCCGCCTCAATGAAGCTTGCCTGAATGAAAACCTGCTTTATCTTTCATCAACAGTTCCACACATTCATCCCTTGAGCTGACAAGTACGGTTGCTGCATTTTAACTCGGGTATATGGAACAATGAAACCAACAACACATTCATATTAAGCTCATATTAAGTTCACCAAGCTAAGCTTGGTAGATGAGTGGTTAATATGCTTGTAGTTATAACAGGTTTGCCAGTTAGATTTAATTATTATTGAATTAAATTAATTAAATATTAGAGTTTCAATTCAAAGCTGTAAATGTACAAACAAACTTAAAATAATCTAAAGTGGTTAAAAATATAAGTAACGTGGCGTGTATTTATTTAAAAAAATATTTGTTGGATTGTAAAAAAGTTTTGAATATTTTAACATTCCTGTATCGCTAGACAATTTAATCTATCCTCATTGGAATTACATTTATATCTACTAAGTATTATTGCATTCATTACACCTTCTAATTTAGAACTGAAATCACTTCACATAACCCAAATCTGAACTTGTTATTTTGACGAAAACAACCAATCAAGAAAGATCGTAAACCAAAGAGTTGTAAAACTGTGGAGATTGTGATTGATCTGTGATATTCCTAGGTTTGACAGAGGGGTTACTTCTTGGTACAGTGCTTTCCTCGAGATATTGCGCGAGAGATCTTCATAAAATAAATCTGCTTGAGTTTGAAAATACAGCCAAGTGGTCTGTATTCTAAACTATGTATTCTAAACTTCTAAACTGTCATAGTGCTGTATTCTGTATTCTACTGTTTTAGACCAATTTCAATTTAAAACTTGTTTAGGTATTTAAAGTACTACTAGATTTGTTATATTTGTTACAAAATACTATACTGAGTACTTAAAATATATTATTACTTTCATAATTAAATAGTTTTAGTTTTTTAAAGAAGCTTTAATTTATTTACTATATGCTATAGGCCTATGCATAGGGTGTAAATTAAGTAAGGGAAAAATCTGAATTTTAAAATCTGAAATGGAGAGAAATATTTTTTAAATGACATTGATTAAACAAAGGTCCCGCAATCGTTTAAAAAATATTTTTAATCCACCTAACAGAGTTATTGGTAACTGAAATAGATACAACAATTTTGTTTGTGGCATCGGAATTTTTAACATCATAAATGTTTTGAGCTACCCCAACAGTGAGGGGTAGGGGGTGACTTATTTTTTTAAATAGCAACCCCCTATAGTGTGCGTCATTGTGTGACCCCTTATTGGAAGGGTTACAAAATTATGCAAACCCGATGTAGATATCTCACTCACAGCCAAAATGGCAGGTATGCCAAATTTTGAATTTGTGGAGTAGCTGCTTTTTCACATAAATGAAATTTTGGAATACCTGCCATTTTGACTAGGTATGAGATATCCACCGGGTTTGCGTCATTGTATTTCTCTTGACAAACCCCTCAAAATGAGGGGTTACTTAATAAGGGATATTTGAACAAATAAGTTACCCTCTATACGTCTACACGTCTCTACCACCAAACCCTGTTAAGGTGTGGAGTTAGAAATATTTTTGATGTAAAAGATTGAGGAACCGTTGTCAACAATGAATGCCACAAACAGAATATTTATATTTTGGTTTAATAAATACGTTTTCCTACAGTTACCTAACAATGTACATGTTCTCTCACTGATTTGAGAAAGCAAAGTGGCCAATTCGCTCATCAGTGAGACAATATTAACATTGTCTCACTCTAATTACTTTGTCTCACTCCAGATTTGCAACGTCAAGATACGAAATAGTGAACGCGTAACGTGCAGATAAGGTCGTATATATAGTTCGTTGGGTCGTAAGCGCGCGTAATACGTTGGCAGCACTGGCTGTAAATCAGCTGGTCAGCTGTTGTACTGTTGTATTTTGTCACTTCACATTAAATGTTACATTAAAAGCAAAGAAAAGAACACAGTTTTTTAACTTCTGTGTAAAAATATGTTACGTTTCTTCACCAATTTACTTGTTTTATGGTAACTGTAGGAAAAATATAATGTGCAACTAATGAGAAACCATTCCTCACTCGACTACGGCTTGTGAGTAAGGATTTCTCTCTAGTGAGTCAATTGCTCACTTTGCTCACTAGTTGCACAAATAACAATTTCTTACTTAATTTACACACTATATACAGTAAAAGCCAATCTGTCCATGTTTGTCAGTATGGCCTATTTGAATTATTAAACCTTTCATATAATTGTCATGAAACGTTGAAATATTGTTCTACTAGGTACGTTTTGTGTCTTAATCATTATCTTGTAATTCGCCAGGGCTTTGAAAGTTATCATGTTAGATGGAAGTCGAAAAACAGAAAATATGCTCTAATATTCATATAACCATTGTTTCTACAATGCTATAAAATAGTATTATCAAAAAGAGGACAGAGTTGCTTGGCGTTAGGGGCAGAAGACGGCTATTAAAGTAGCGAATATTAAACCAGCGACCCGTGTAAGTAGCCGCAGACCGTCCTACTACACGCCAAGTAACAAAAGATAAATAAATTTATGCCCTAAGCCATATGCCATGTTCAAAAAAATGTCTAGTAATAATTACAAAAATTACATGCTGGATACAATTTATGGAATAAATTAATAATTAATTTAATTAATTAATTAATTTAGACCAAATCGATGAATAATTATTATTCATCGATTTGGTCAATGGATATAAAATATTCTATTCATATTTTTCGACAGTGTTTCTGATCTTGAAACATCGTATGCAAATACTATAAATAATGTGTATTTTGGAATTTAAATATTCCTACTTACCGATGAAAATACATTAACACAAATCAAACAGTACCTAGACCTACCTATTGTGACAGTTTTGTGTATAATAAATACTTGTTCTGAATGATCAATGGCCATTATCATTATGAGATCAAATGGGAATTTAGGAGCTCCTTCCCATGAGAACGCAATATTATTTACTTTGCTGTCATGACTTTGTGTCAGGGTTTTGAAGGCATTAAATAAATCCCATCAGCTGAAATATTAACATGGTGAGCAACAGCCTGTGCCTAGCTGGACTTTGTCCACTCCTATTCCCCACCCCCTGCCAGACAGGAAATTTGCATCCTGACATGTCACAGTTACAACTTGAGCAAATCTGACCTCTTCTACAAGGCAACTCCATGCAGTGAGGATGTTTTAAATTAATACAGATAGTTTAGCCATTTTGAAGAGTTTGCAGTTAGAAGATCAGTGTCCAGCCTTGTGAACATCAACATTTTCCCTTGTGTCCATTCCTTTTGGATTTATTTGGCAGAGGTAAGATTAGTCAATGATCAATTTTGTAAATAATTTGAACCCAATTTTAATCCATTTATGATTTAAATACATTTTAATTTCATATTTTTCTGGTTCTTGATTTGGAACTAATGGCCAGACATGCAAACTGAGGATTTGGATTATTTCAGAGTAAATCATTATTTAATAAGTAAGATATTTTGTCAATTTGTTAGTCATATAGTTTTAGCCAGTTTTAAAGACTCATAAATATGACATTTTCATGGTTAGTTAGTATGATTGGAATTTTACAATTTTGTAATATAGTGCAAAGTAAAACTTGTCTAGAGGAAAAAAATGAAAATTGCTGACCATGTGCTTTCTAATTTTAACTTGCTAATTTACCTGAGAATTTAATTAATTGTAATAGTAATGCTGTTCTCTATCCCAATGTAAGTTTTAGATATTTGTTTACTTTGTATAAATTAATTGCTTTGTGTAAATATGAGTCAGATAGGGTAAATTATTAATGATTTTTATGATTAACTAATGACACTAAATGTAGGCTAGTAATTATTATGTTTAAAGAAGATTTACATGCTTATTGAAGATTCTAAAATATTAAAATATTATGTCATGTTTGATTCACTGTAAAATTCAGGTGTCAAAAGGTTGTGTAGGTTAAAGTCGATGAATTGATCTAAATGTTAGTTATTCTTTGAATTATTATTAACTAGCAACAGAGCCCGTTGTAGTTAAATACAACGGTCCCTAGAAAGTA